CAATTTTGAAATATAAAAAATGCCTTATTCTATTATTTAATTTGTTTTTTTAATTTGTCATTTCTATTTTACACAGAAAAAAAATTGTATTATTTAATTGGTTTTTGTTTAAAGTTTTCTGTTATAAAGAAAACTGCACTTATCCAAAAACAAAAATAAAATTGCTTTACGATAATCCGTAGTAATTTCAAAAAGATATATAGCTTTGAAGGAATTAAACAGGCCAAAATGTCTGATTATGCCAACGGAAGTACTATATAGTGATTCAGTGAATATTATGGCAGTAATAGGGGACGAATAAACTCTTGATAAGTGTTCACAATATGTGAGTGATTGCTTTAGCTGTTCTATTGCTACATATCCTCGATCTTCTAAGTAAATTCAGGATTTCGCAAACTGGTTTCCAAGACACAAAACTTCTCATTATTTGGTTAACTAGCGCAAAACATACCCCACTCTCAAGCCGTGCACAACAGAAAATCAAATTATTTATTTATTCATATTTTTATATTCGAGAGTTATTTACTTAAATTTAGTAATGTTAACGGTAATATTAGCCGCTCCCCTATGAGGAAACATTTGGCATTAATTTACGAAGTAGCCAGTACGGTTGAAATTTATAAAATCTTTATCTTGAAGCACTTTCTTTTAGCAAAACTGGTTTCTCAAGTGCAGTAGTTCTTATCGCTTTTTCTAGTACTAATGGGAGGTTTATTTCCGAACCTTTTATTAGATGTGGTATGTAATGTTGAGAGTTTGATTATGTCATCATTTTTTAGTTAAATGTGATATCCATTTAGGTTATTTTTTCTGTTGGTAGTCCCTAAGTGAGAAGGTTTCTCTTATTTTGTTCAGTCCTTTGTTTGCGATTCTGTAGCGCAAGTATACAATCTTCAAAACAGTGTAGATCTTTACCATGACCCTCAGAATTTACTCTTTCAAAGACTTTATTCCGTATTGATTTTTAGGAAAATTTTGTATGCAGCTGAGAGTTTAAATATTTCTTGGCGTCATTCATGGCACCCATATTAATGTCTCGATCTGACAAAGCTATTTAAGTTTTCAGGTTGATGTTTTATTTTTATTTAATTTTTGGTGTTGGGTATGACTACCTGTAGCAAAATCTATTCTATGTTCAATTTCTTTTCCTCCTATACATAATTTGTTATATTTGATCAATACACCAACGTCTAGTGGTATTACACAGATTTCCGACCCCAGAGTTCATTGAACGCTAACTTTCTGGTCTCTAAACAGATAATATTTATCATTATCTTACTGTTTCAGCTCTCGTACATGTGAGATATTAATTTCGAATTCTCTGAAACGAAGATAGGTGGCTGGCCATTGAAATTATGGAGACAATAATGTCATCATTTTGAATCCATGTCTTGTTATCCGATATGGAAGTTGCGTAACAGTCATCCGCCATGAAAGTTAAATTGCGTGAAAGTATATTCGAGTCTGTCATGTTCACTTCGCAAAAACGCCCTTGGAAAAGACCAGAGTCCATTTTTTCTCCTGGTAGTTGACAGTTTTGGGACATAGAAGAAAAGTGATTGGTTTATCATTGGTGTTTTTCTAAAACTTTAATTCGCATATATTAATTTAGCCACGGAGTGCAAGTGTTTATTTTCCTACAAGGGTAACTGCTCTAATTAGCTTTATCTCGGGTAGCCCGGCTACATGAATTTAAGCGTGCTACTAGATTGGCATCTAGGTCCCATCCGTTTACTGATGAAATAGTTAAATGAAACGACCACTTCTACTTAAACAGCCACCTATAATCATCAATTTTTTAAATGCAATATCATTCGCCAACTTCTGCATTCCTGAATTATGTTATTTTCTCTTAATTAACCTTTGCTCATTCTCTCCCACTCTTAGTAACCCCTAGTGTTTGAGTGGCATTATCGCCTTGCTTCTCGTGAAATGATTAGTTACTAAAAGCCAGAATTTACATATTTGGAAGCTTTTTGTTTTTCTAAAGCTTTACTTCACATAAATTAATTTCGCCACGGAGTGCAAGTGCTTATTTTGCTACAATCAGCTTTATCTCGGGTAGCCCGGCTACATGAATTTAAGCGTGCTACTAGATTGGCATTTAGGTCCCAACCTTTTGCTGTTGAAATAGTTAAATGAAACGACCACTTCTACCCGAACAGTTTCTTTTCTCGTACTAACCTTCTTTGGAACTCCCTTCCCTTTATTAGCTTTTCTGGTAATTTAAATCATCCAAAATTTAAATACAGCGTCAATCGCCATCTTCTATATTCTTGAATCCTGTCACATCTGTTGTTCTTTCTTCAATCCTCTCCATACTCAGTCTTTTCTTTCACTTTCAATCTCCGTAACTCCCTGCGTACTACTGGTATTCCCGTGTTGCTTGGGGGTAAAAATGATTAAAAAGGAAACGCTTCTGATAATCGATTTGGAAAGTCACGTATGTTATAGATGTGACAAGAAAACGTCTTATAGCTAAAGTCCATTTTTTTCTGTCGGTAGTTGACAGTTTTGGGACATAGAAGAAAAATTGATTGGTTTATCATTAGTGACAGCCAATTAACTACAAAAAAAATCGGAAAATAAAAAACAAGAAAAAGACAAATAGAAAACATTTGATTTCCTTTCTTAAGAATTCATGGATATTTTGCACATAACAAAGGAAACAGTGGACAGCAGTTTTCAACTAGTATTTTTCAAAATATAGTATAAATTCTAGTATGTACTAGACACACATAAGGCCCCAGATGTTTCCGGAATAGACTTTTCACTAAATGTCTTTCAGAGAAGCCATGAATTTAAGCGTACTACTAGATTGATAAATAGGTCTCCCTGGAATAGGTAGATGTAGTAATATAAACTATTTCAGTTTCTTTCTTAAGTATTCATTGGCATTTGCCTATTTTGCACGTAACAATGGATATTCTGGACTACCGTTTTCACCTAGGTCCTCAAGATGATACCGAAAATAGACTTTTCATTCTATGCCCTTCTGAGAATCCAACTGACCTGAGGAGTAACCTGATCCATGATTAATCTGATGCCAGTAGCCGCCCCAATATATGAATACACAATCGGCCCAGTTGCGACAGGCAGATATATAAACCCCCATCCAAGAGGAAAGAGAACAGAATCACTTTTACATCGCGCAGCAAAATATAATAACCGAATTTCGATGATGACTACGCGGTGAGAAACAGAGAAGTCATTGCTGGTAATATTATTTTAAGTCCTGTAGTCACGTAACAGAATTGAAAATTATACTGTTTATTACATATTTACCGTCCAAATTTAACAAAGGACAAAAAGTGGTTAAAAAACGTTTCGAATAAAAAAAAGTTGGCACCACAACTGTTACATGCGGAACTCTCGCGAGAATGAGATCGTCAAACAGATACGAATGTTAGGTACTGTCATCTCTATACGCGACTTCTGTTCGATAGCGATGTATTCCTCATGAGTATGTATGGTCGATTTTCAGGTAAAAGCCGGCATTACAAAGGCGAATTTTCAAGATTTTTTTAAAGATAATTTCCCACCTAGCAAGGCGATACAGCCAATAAAATGCAATATGTTAGTGAGTGTAAAAGGATATAACAAAAAGAAAAATATTATAAGGAATGACGACAACAATAAAAAAAAAACAGTTAACAGAAGATAACAATTGACATTACATTTAAATTTTTTGAAGATCAAAGTTGGCTGGGAAGCAAGAAGCCGAAAGGGAGTTCCAGAATCGAGTTGTTCGTATAGAACTTATGGGTTTATCTAGCCATTCCAACTGTAAGTTGTAACTTGTCACCAATCTAGTATGGCGCTTAAAGTCGAGGTAAAAAGAGAAAAGGAAGCAACGTTACGATAGTGAAAAGCTAATTGATGCCGACATGCCAGGTCAGCACGAATAAGACTGCAGATTCTTGTTTGGAATTTATCAAGAATCGCTAAATACATCGCAGAAGTCCCAGACCAGATATGACAGTATAGTCAATGCATGGACAAATGGTAGACTTATAAATGCGCAAAATAGATTCTTGTGAGAAAAATTGTCTGACACAACACAGTGAACTGACTTTCCTAACTTAATAAAATCTTTCCACTTCATTTCAGCGCGAAACATTAGCCCGAGAAGTCACAATGATTCAGTCTATTGGAGGTTAGCATCAGCCATATAAACTTCTTCATAATATGGCTGACTAACGCAACACGTTCTTCTCATTCATGTCAGTCTTTACTAAGTAAAATCGTGTATTTATGTTGTATATTGCATAGTATTAGACGTATTGACTAGGATAGGCCTCGAATGAAAAATAATATCATGTAACGTAAGAGAAACTATGTTTCGGCTCATCATTTAATAGCTACATTCTATATATTTTGTAGTCTTAAGCTCTACTCTACCTGGAAGCGACTTTACTTATTCAAATATTAAAGCTTAATATTTTATGGCAGCTGCTCTAATGAGCTCTCCTTATTTGTACATCGACTACATCGATTTGAGCGTAATACTAAAATTGCTATGGGCGCGTGTCCGAGTAGTGAGAACGTTCACTGTCTGCATATGAGATTTATGTTCAAATCTCACTATGGTCGATTTGAAGGTGATTTCTTGATGTTACCAGTCTGGAAGATCTGTCGGCGATTGCCCTAGTACGAACTCACAAGTTATCGGTAGGTGACCGAGGCAATGAGCGTTCTAGCGTTGTTCACGCTAAATAACGCGCTCTCTCCCAGTAACTATAAGTAAGGTATGGTGGCTGTTGAACAAACACAAATATACCTGAGCAGGCGACGGAATGGGGAATAGCTAGCCGCCCCAGTAGATAGGTACCGTCGGATTCGAGAAGATGTGACTATTACGTTGGCTAATAATTCTTACAGTTTTATTCTTGAAATTGATAGACGTAACCATAATTTTTATTCAAATACTTTCTTTTCTCGAACTTCTCACCTGGAGAACTCTCTCCCCTTTTTTTTTTTTTTGCTTCACGGCTTCATTTCCGCCCATATCACGTTGAAACACCGGTTTTCATACGATCACTGAATTTAAGCGACAACGAGCCTGGTCAGTACCTAGACGGGTGTCGACTTGGGTATACCAGGGTACGTATGTTTGGATGTGCAGGTAGTGTAATGGATAACAGCTCGGAATTAGAAATCGGAAAGATGAATGCCAATTTTAGTCGGGTTCACATATGCGGGAACGATATGAATTCACTTCTTCTCCCCCATCGACGGGTTAATTAGTGAAACTTATATCACTAAATCATCATCATAAAAAAAAGTTCTTACAATCTAAAAATATTTTCTGGTTTTAATTAACTTGAAAAGGGGTGCTAAGTCGAAAAAAATCAAATCAGTCAATTCAAAACCTGGCACCTATAATCATCAATTTTTTTAAATGCAATATCAATCGCCAAATTCTGCATTCTAAAACTTTAATTCGCATATATTAATTTAGCCACGGAGTGCAAGTGTTTATTTTCCTACAAGGGTAACTGCTCTAATTAGCTTTATCTCGGGTAGCCCGGCTACATGAATTTAAGCGTGCTACTAGATTGGCATCTAGGTCCCATCCGTTTACTGATGAAATAGTTAAATGAAACGACCACTTCTACTTAAACAGCCACCTATAATCATCAATTTTTTAAATGCAATATCATTCGCCAGCTTCTGCATTCCTGAATTATGTTATTTTCTCTTAACTAACCTTTGCTCATTCTCTCCCACTCTTAGTAACCCCTAGTGTTTGAGTGGCATTATCGCCTTGCTTCTCGTGAAATGATTAGTTACTAAAAGCCAGAATTTACATATTTGGAAGCTTTTTGTTTTTCTAAAGCTTTACTTCACATAAATTAATTTCGCCACGGAGTGCAAGTGTTTATTTTCCTACAATCAGCTTTATCTCGGGTAGCCCGGCTACATGAATTTAAGCGTGCTACTAGATTGGCATTTAGGTCCCAACCTTTTGCTGTTGAAATAGTTAAATGAAACGACCACTTCTACCCAAACAGTTTCTTTTCTCGTACTAACCTTCTTTGAAACTCCCTTCCCTTTATTAGCTTTTCTGGTAATTTAAATCATCCAAAATTTAAATACAGCGTCAATCGCCATCTTCTATATTCTTGATTCCTGTCCCATCTGTTGTTCTTTCTTCAATCCTCCCCATACTCAGTCTTTTCTTTCACTTTTCACTCTTCGTAACTCCCTGCGTACTACTGGTATTCCCGTGTTGCTTGGGGGTAAAAATGATTAAAAAGGAAACGCTTCTGATAATCGATTTGGAAAGTCACGTATGTTATAGATGTGACAAGAAAGCGTCTTATAGTTAAAGACTACTTCTGTGTATTTAGGGGCAATGCTGGGCATGTCTGTGGCCTATATGCTAATTTGACATGGCGACAGAACAAAGAAATTGCTTTGATTGCCATTCGTATTTACAAAACTGCTTTGTTTATGATAATCTGTGTTTAGGTGATCAATGTGGATTTCAATAGTCCTCTATATCGGCATAATCGCCTAAAACATTTGTAGGTGAACGATTACTTCTTTTTTCTAGTGAAACAAAAAGACAAAAGGAATAAATATAGTCAGTTTTTTTCTTGGTCATTTTTCGCATGAAAAACTCAATGAATAAAAAAAATATAATCAGAAAAAATATTCATTATTTGAAGAGTTCTATGTTCAGCTTCAAAAATGCTGAGAGCGACAAGTGAAAGTCGAATCCATAAAAATATCAAGTACGTTGCTCATAAATTATTTCATTATAATGTTCGGAAAATAATATCGGATTTTAGAATCAATTTTGATTTCTGCATTAATAGATGTAAACAGTTTCTAAATCAGTCAAAATAGAAACCGTAAAACTCTATTCATGTCTGCCATATTTGAATGTCATTACTGCATCTTTTTTGCACAGTAATATCGTGTAGCTTACAAAAATTGTCAAGATTCACGAAATAGTGATAGTCAGTGGGCGTATGATCAGGGGAATAGGGTGCAAAGTCTCATATCGTTAATTTTCTGCAATAAGTGGCCAATCATTGTCTTGATCTGCTTTCAAAATGGCTTCATCATTCACACCTGGCTAGGAGAATATTATGTTTTAAATAATTAATCGTTTCGGTTGGATGAACATAAAAAACACGCAATTTTAGTTGTACTGTGACAGAGGTTTAAGATTTCTTATGCAGATCTTAATATAGCAGTCATAGACAAAAAATATTTGATGATTAAATTTTTCACTTTACACTACTTACATTGGTCGGACTGTTGCCCTTATCTTTATTTCATATTCACGACGTTTTGTCCGTTGTATTTTCCTACATTCTTCAGTTCCAAAGGACACATGGCCTAGTGGGTAAAAGAGTTGGTTGCAGTAAACCAGTGACTTCACCCAAAGCAGAAGTGAACGAAAAAATTGTAGAGTTGAGTTACTAAAGGGCAATAACTCAAACTGAGATACCCAGAAAAGGCACGGCACGTGGAACTAGAACAATCTACTCCAGTGGACGATATAAGGATTTTGCTTCGAAAGTTTAATGTATATCACCTGAAGAAGCCGAAACGTCGGTAATATGACAATAAAGATACGGACAGCAGTTCGAACAATGTAAATTGTTTCAATACCTCATCTCAGAAATATAGACAGATCCTGAAGAAGACCGGAGCGTACAACACCCGAAACATTGTGAACGTGACAATAAACACAAGGACAACAGTTGGACTAATGTGAATAGTGTAAATACATACAATGCCTCATCTCAGAAATACTGGCAGATCCTGAAGAAGTTCGGAGCCTATAACGGCCGAAATCTTGTGAATATGACAATATAAATGAGGACAACTGTAACAGTTATAATGTCTCATCTCTAACTTATAGACAGATATTGTAATAATATAATAGAAAATAAAAGGTTTATTCTAATGTCTATATTATTTTCCGAATATCTTAATATATTCTCGTATTCCAAATAAAACTTGAGATCGTAATTGATGAGGTTAAAAAATCAAAAACATTTATAAATTGGGGGTTAATACATCGAGGTTATTCTGTGACAATCTCCAGTCATTTTTTTTTTGTATCGATTATGAAGTTGCCGCAGTTCGTACTTCTTGTGTAAGGTTGATTTTCCCTTTATTGTGCGTGTAAATTGCATTTCGATCATTTTCCATGTTGTAATTTTATACATTTTATACTCTAAATGAATAAAATCACGAAAAACATTGCAATAAAATACCATTTGTACTTGCTACGAATATGGCTGCCACATCTGGGGTGGTGATCCTACGATATATTTAGAGATTCTTGATAAAATCCGAAAAAGAATCTGCAATATTTATGATCCTGACCTGGCACCCTGGCATCTCCACTTTTCTCTCTCTCTCTCTCTCTCTCTCTCTCTCTCTCTCTCTCTCTCATCACCTGTGTCTTTTCTATAAATGCTTTCATGCTAATTGTTCTGTTGTACTTTCCGCTATGGTACCTAGAGCTTATGAATTCAAGCTCAGCATTAGATTATCAACAAAGGCTCATCGTTTTACAATTGAAATGGCTAGATGTAACTGTAAGTTATATGCTAACAGTTTTTTTCTACTGTACTTCTCGCTTGTGGAACTCTATTCCAGATTCGCGCTTCTTGTCAACACTTCAATCTTAGTGGCTTTATTTCCGTACTTGACGTAAAATGATTAAAAAGTTTGTGGTTCTAGCGTTTCCCACTACAGTAAATTTTAGTAATCTACGGAGTAGCGTGACAGTGAAGTAATCAAAAATTAATAAGTAATTAATTAGTCGGGGGTGGGGGGTCTAATAAACTTGGGACGAGATTGAAAAAGTGAACAGATGCTGAAAATTAAGCTATGTTTAATACCAGCACGTTCATCTGGCATTTAACATTGACAACGTTTCAGCTTTTATAACATCTGGCCATCTTCAGGAGACTGTAACTTTCGATAATCTTCTGGAAACTTTGAAGTGAACACAGTATTCAATGTTAAAGAATATCTGGCAGATGTCAGTTCTCTCCCTGGATAAAGCTGAAAAATTATGTACACTGATTCCATCAAAGCAATAAGTAAGCAATGTCTGGTGAGTATGAAGTGATATGTGCTCTCAAACCTAACTATCGACAGATGAACGAGAACAAATTATTACTATAGATGGAATAAAGTGTTTTGTTCGAAGCTGAATTTTTTTAAATGGGATAACCTGGATGTGCTTACTGGTCTGAATAAAAAAATCTTCTTTGTTGTCGACTCCTAACATCATAGGAGTATCGGAAGGACCGTCTCTGGTGACATTTCACACGATCGCCGAGTACCCAACTTTAGACCAAATTCATGAACATAGCTGTGACTTTTTTTAAAAAAATTAGGACTAGGATTATTCTCGCACAAAGCAAGGTGGATCTTGCCTGATAGAAGGTCTCTCCACATTCTAGGCCGAATTTTCACTTCTTCCTCCGAAAAACATTGTCCCAAAGTCTTCTTGGGGCGTCCTTCATTTCTGGCACCCACAACCGTCACCTCACAGACTTGTTTGATAAGCCCAACTCTGCGCTTAACATGCCCAGCCAAGCGAAGTCTACGGCTGCGCAGCAGTGAATCAAGGTCGTCAAGTCTTAACTTACTCAAAAGCGAGTCTGACCTGACCTCATTTGAATACGCCACACATTATGTCCTTACCATTCCGACGCTGGCGGTTGAAGTCCGCCTTCGAAAGGGTCCATGCCTCGATGGCATGTAGCATAAACCTGTGAAAGCAGGTGTTGTGCACACGTCTTGTGTTCATAACCAGCGTAATATATAATAATGATAAATTCCTCATCATAGAATTCTCATATGAATTAGAGACTAAAATTTGTTACTGTCGTTTGGCATTCAAATGATACAAGCGACACGAAAATTCATAGAATAGTAAATACTTACCTGAAAAATTTATTCTTAATATTTTTTGCTTTATAGTGATTCCAGTTTCCAAGATATAAAATTTATATGCCTGCCAGTCAACAGCTGAATATTTGGACTTAAATTATCTAAACTACAATTTAAATAGCCTTATCATGAATATATACTCTATTTGACTTTTCTCTTCTTGAATTT